TATGTATATTTATATATGTGTGAGTGTGTGTGTGTTATTATGCAAGACACTTGAAAGCTGTGTCTGAACTAAACTGTTACCATCACTCATTCTGTAACTTCATCCTGTCTACACGGTGTCATCACTGTTGGTTCAGAGTAGAGTAAATATAGACATAGAAAATGCAAGATTTCCCTGACCGGGAATCGAACCCGGGCCGCGGCGGGGGGAGCGCCGAATCCTAGCCACTAGACCATCAGGGACTTTTAGACAGTATCCTAATGGTATGTGAACATGTCAGAAGCCTACATAGGACAACAAATATTGTCAAATAAAACAAATGAAACAAACAAACGAAAAATATAATAATACTGCTACAGCTAATAATAATGGCATAAGGTGAAAGTGGAATATTTTCATATCTTACATATGTAGGTCATCATCATGAGTACTAAAGAGGTTTGTGAAACTTCTGATGACTGCTGCAGTTGTCTACCATGCTTGCTTAATTTTTATTAATTTTTATTATTAAGTAACATTGTCTTTGTTCAAATTGACCACTGTGTGTTAGTAGTAACAACAGCTCTCATATGACTCATATAAATATGGGTCAAAATATGTTGTTTTTGTGATTAGAGTTATTTGTGTTCTTTTCAGAAACAGTGGTGTGGCTCTTAAAAGAGCCTTTGTTTATGACACTGCAGTGTACACAGTCACCGCTCACTTCTTCTTGGCTGCTGCCTTCTTTGCCTTGGGCTTCGCCACCTTCTTAGCAGGAGACTTCTTGGGAGCTGCAGCCTTCTTCACAGCCTTCTTTTTGGGGCTCTTAGCGGCCTTCTTGGGGCTCTTGGCCACTGCTTTCTTGGCAGCGGGTTTCTTTGCCTTCTTGGGAGACTTCTTAGCGGCCGCTGGCTTCTTAGCCACCGCTGGCTGCTTAGCCACCGCTGCCTTGGACTTCTTAGCTGCTGCGGGTTTCTTGGCGGCGGGCTTCTTAGCTTTAGCGGGGGCCTTCTTTGCCGGTTTCTTAGGCTGGGGTTCGGCAGCCTTTTTGTTGATCTTGAACGAGCCGGACGCTCCAGTTCCCTTAGGCTGGACCAGGGTTCCTTTGAGGACCAGAGCCTTGATGGCGGTCTTCACGCGGACGTTGTTTTTCTCCACATCATATCCATCCGCGGCCAGAGCCTTCTTCACGGCGGAGAGCGAAACGCCGTTGCGCTCGTTGGATGCTGACACGGCTTTAACGATCAGGTCTCGGACGCTGGGTCCAGCCTTTTTGGGCT